GGTGTAGTTCGAGGTTGGCTTGTTCTTCATGTCTGGGAGTTTATGTTCGAGCCTTGCACTCTATTAAGATTCCTAGGATTCATACTCTGTCAATTTTCAACTACTCAACAATTCACGATGTAAAATAATAAGGTTGAATTTTGATGAATTATGAAGACTCTTGTGTGTATCTCTCAAAGATTAGTGTGTTTAATTGTCTCAATGACATCTAAGTATACACATTATTCAGTTATGTACGTAATTCCCCTTAAGCTTTCTTCTCTTTAATTAAAAAATCTTCAAGTTTTTTTTTTTTTAATTAATATTTTTGTAAAAATTTATTTTCTCTTTATCTCTTATAAAAATTTATTGTTATGAAAGTAGTATTGTGACAATTCTACTGATAAAAGTGCTTTCATCAAAAGTATTGTAATTCCAAACGCTTTTAGCGATAGATTGTATAAAATACTTTTTATACTTTTATCACTTTTAAATTTGTTTAGTAACATTGTAGCTTAAAGCATAATTCATTCACATTGCATGATTATAGGTTATGAAACTAGTTCAAACACATCGTTGCATTTGAAAGATAGGATTTATCATTTGAAATAGGAAAATAATTTTTACACGCACCGAATAGTTGCAATGAATTGCTAGACCTACTACAATTTATTACTTTTAATTGGTCATTTATGCAATAAATAAGGAAGTAGGGCCTCCACTTACTTGTATTTAGCATCAATAACCAATCAAAAACCATTAGGTTAAACAACTCACTGCAAGTATTCGGTATAAGTATCACTACTCTTAGAAATATTAAAAAAAAATTATAGCATCCTTTTTCAATCTTAGTATTCTTTTCTTGGTTTTCTTGATCAAACAAGGTGGGCCTTTTTTATTTTTTATTTTTATTTTTTATTTTCTTTACAAAAGAAAAAGAAATACATACAACAGACTTATTTCATAGATAGGAAATACATACAATATTAGACTTATTTCATAGATAGGCTTTACCATTTGAGATATTGGACAAAACTAAGATTAATATATCGTGAATACTGAAGAGTTTATGTTTGAGCCTGGCATCCTATTAAGATTCTTAGGATTCCTACTCTCAATTTTCAACTACTCAACAATTCACAATGCATGTAGAATAATAAGGTTGAATTTTAATGAAATTTGAAGACTCTTGTGTGTATCTCTCAAAGATTAATATGTTAATTGTCTCAACGGCATCTAAGTATACACATTATTCAGTTCTGTAATTCCCCTTAAGTTTTCTTCTTTTCAAATAAAAAATCTTCAAGTTTTTTTTTTTATTTTTTTAATTAATACTTTTATAAAATCTTATTTTTCTCTATATAGATTATTGAAGGCAGAGTTTGAAAACTTATGCTTACTCTTTTCTCTCTTATTTACATGTCTACGCACATCACATATACACCTCATTCAATTATACAGTATCATTTTTTCTACTTTGTAAATATATAAATTTTGTTCATGAAGAGTTATAGTGTAATGATATTTTCTCGCCTTTCAAAAAAAAAAAAAAAAAAAAATCATTTTTTAGTTTTTGAAAATTGTTTCTATTCTCAAAATTTTTAAAAATTCCATTTCAAACCTTTGGAATTATCACCAAACTGGAGCTATGACATGAGCAATATACATTACCTTAACATTGAAATTTAGAGGATAAAAATGAACCAATGCATGTAGACAAACAAAATAACCCATCTTTTATTATTGCTTCTCTCATTAATTGTAGAATATAATGGAAAAGTTATAGATACACCACTTCAATTAGCCACATCAAAAGCAACCAATTCCAAAGTATCCATAAATAAAGTATAAGAAATTAATATTTAACCAAAAAAAAAAAAGTATAAGAAATTGTAAATTTAGAAGTAAACAAAGAAAGAAGACGAGTCTGTAGAGAAGTGTGAACTTGAAGTGGTGGCGGAACGAAGACTCCTGAGAAGCTCCTCCCTCACTCTTGCCATCAACGTCCCATATTCCTCCAGTAGCACCACCAACATCCCCACTCTCATCATCCTCTCTCTCTCTAAATATTTCTCTCTCTAAAACCCTTGAACCGATTTTTGCAGAAAACTTAATGAGAATGGATATATTCTGCATAATGTAGCCAAATTTATATACTAACAAGGATGGACCAGCTTTTTTGTTCAATTTTTATTTATATATATTTTTACTATTTTTAAATCTTTAATGCACGGTTGATTTGTGACCATAATAAATAATGTTATAATGATGGAATTTGGTTTCACATGGTGACACGTGGGCTCACGCGATAATTTGAAATCATTAAATTTGAATGCCCACGTTTTCTTTTTTTTGCCCAATTTTGCCCCATGCCGACAGTGACATGGTGGTCTTGTTCTGGGTTGGTCTGGCCCAATTTGGCCCAAAAATAATTTAACTTTTCTTTTCTCTACCTTATCTTACCTTAATCACTTGTGTAATCACGTTTTTAACTTGTTTTTTTTATACGTGTTTAATGTGTTTAAGTAGTAGATGACGTTGTGTAGATGATATCACTAATTTGACTAATTAATTTGTCAAAGTTCAAACAATAAAATGGCAATTGAAGGGAGGCTGTTGAGGTTATATATAGTGGGAGCGGAAATCGGAGTTTAAAAGTCATAAAATTTAAATCATATAAAGTGAAAGCGGAAATACCAAAATAACATAATCCAAATTTCACAGAATGGGAATATGAGCAAAATGTGAGAGTGACATCCATTTAGAAGAATTATGTGACTTAGGCATTATCTTCAAGAAGAACAAAGAAAAATAGGTCCATTCGAATTTCTCTGGGGTCACTTCAAGAGAATTCTCTCGATATTGTTCGGCGTATGTGAAATGGATAGTTTACATATATTTGGTAGTGAATTATGAGATGCTCTAAGAAACCTGATATCATTATCATTGAAAACAAAAATTTGCAAATGAAATTATATATAATCTATTGATTGATAATACTTTTTTTCTTTTTGAAGTTTAAGGACTTGTTTGGTAATTGTTTTTGTTTCTTATGTTTTTGCTTCGGAGTACTATAGCGAAAAAAAAATACGAAACGTGTTTGGTAACGTTTGATATAATTTGAAATCATTAAACTTGAATGCTCACATTTTCTTTTTTTGGCCCAATTTTGCCCCAAGCCGACAGAGACATGGTGGCCCTGTTCTGGCCCAACTTGGCTCAAAAATAATTTTCTTTCCTTTTCTCTACCTTATCTTACCTTAATCACGTTTTTAACTTTTTTATACGTGTTTAAGTAGTAGATGATATCACTAATTTGACTAATTAATTTGTCAAAGTTCAAACAATAAAATGGCAATTGAAGGGAGGTTGTCGAAGTCACATATAGTAGGAGCAGAAATCGGAGCGTGAAAGCGATAAAATTTAAGTCATATAAAGTAAAAACAGAAGTGCCAAAACAACATAATCTAGATTACACAGAATGGGGACATAAGCAAAATGTGAAAATGACATCCTTTTAGAAAATTATGTGAATTAGGCCTTATCTTCAGGATTAGGTGCATTCGAATTTCTCTGGGGTCACTTCAAGAGAATTCTCTCGGTATTGTTCAGTATATGTGAAACGAATGGTCTGTATATATCTCGTAGTGAATTATGTGGTTGCTCTAAGAAACTTGAAAAAAAAATTTTGTAAATGAAATTATACATATAATCTATTAGTTGATAATACATTTTTTTTTTTTTTTTTTTTTTTTTTTTTTTTTGAAGGTTTAAGTAAACTCACATGTATTCATAATATTGTTTTTGTTTTTTGTTTTTTTGTTTTTTTTTTAGGTTCCGACACTCAACTCTTAATTTAAAGAGGAGATATTATAACACTAACTAATCCATTTGTTTATACTAATAATACTTAATTAAGTCTAAGTATTAGCAGGAAAAATTATGTTTGTATAAAGAGTTAATGCTGGGTGGATAAGGCTTTTAAGTGAAAGTTTGAGATTGTGGAATAGAATGAAAGCAGCAGACAACATAGTACTTCAAATAATTAATCCTCTTTATGCCGACAGTCAATATGTGACACAAATTCTCTCATTACTGCTGCACCAAACCTTTTTTTCGGTCCCTTTGAATTATGGTGATCAAGAAAAGCCACTTTTTGAATTGTATTATGGATGAATTATGTAGAAATTATTCCCCTTTCAAATATATATATATATCTAATATTTAAGAAAGAAATTGAAAAATACATGCTTAAGCCAATAAGTTCGACAAATTAGACAAAATTGAAAGTAAGTTTTTGTTAGAGCTCATTACGGTAAGAATAATGATTTTTAGACCTAAAATCTAATGGAAAATATTAGTTAAAAGGTTTCTATCCCAATGAATCTAGAGATAAAAAATATTAAATTTTTATTATCAATTTAATAGCATTGCTTAATTAAAAACCATGATATATTCCTACTCCCAAGCCTATCAAGACGTTCTAGGAACTTGATCATGAACCAGCATTATATACTATAATATAGTAGTATTCCTAACTAGTCAATACTTTCTTCTTTAGGAAAGTTAATCAATGCTTTCGTTTGGTCAAATTCCTTATTTCTGTACATTATAGAGGATTTTAAGGGCTTGTTTGCTAATCCAATTTTTTTTTTTATTTTAACTCTAAACATAAATAACGTTTTTGTTTTTGTTGTAGAAATATTAAAAGACGTTTGATTAAAAAATGTTGCAAGTTTGAAAAATATAATGGCTAATTTAAAAGGTCATTACCAAGTATTTAATTTTTTTTTTTTTGGGTATTGATTATCGCTAAAGTACTTGTTGCTAATATATAAAAATATTAAATTGGTGTTTCGACTTTAGCCTACTTTTCATGAAGCGTTTCAATGTTGTAAAAAATAAAATATTATTTACCAAACACGTTACTGCCAAAAACACTACTACAGTAACCCGCCCACAACAAAAGTATAGAAACAAAAAACGCTAACCAAACAGACCCTAAAGAAGTCAAAAAAAAATAAATAAGGTGCATGAACCAGCAATATTTCACACATGAGATGACAAAAATATATAGTGATGCAAATGTACATTTAATTACTCTCTCTTCTTTTACTTGATTTTAATTTAATTTAGAAGGAATAGGATCTAATGAAGACTCTCTTCCATGCTTTCCAGCCGAGAGACCTAGCCTTTGCGAGGGTATAAGATAACTCTAAGCGTTTTAATTTTGGGGGATTAAGAGAAGATGGTGATGTTGATGGTGGCTTTGGTTCTGATTCTTGATCCATTTCTTCATTAATATTGTCTTCTGGATTCCAAAAACGAGCTTCTTTCCTCTTAATCCTCGTCGTCGTTAGCACATCGTATTTGTTGCATATTCCCCACACTGTCACCTTCTGTTGATTAAAATCCACATTTACCGAATATATGCCTGCGGATATCAGAAAATAAAATTATTCAACACCGAAGTTTAATTTAGTAAAAAGAAGCTAAAAGAAAGAGAAGTAAAAGTTTAACTAATTCGTGTAATCTACTGTAAATGAATTTTGATATTTATAAAATTTTCTTTCGAACCGTTAGATGTGTGCATCAATATTTTGAACAATATCACGATTATGGTTTGTTCACTCAGTGGCCCATAGATATTACTTGGACATGGTTTTGGTTTGATCTGGTAGTGTTGTATGCTTGGGCCTGTTTTGACCCTAACACGAGTCTTGCCTATGCTTAAAGACAAACACAAACATTGGCAATTGTGGGCTCATTTTCATAGCAAAATGTTTAAATCCTTTCTGTTGTGACAAGATACAAAAAAATTCAAGATATAGCATAAGCAAAAAAACACACATTGCATTGAACACAGAGATTTAATATGGTTCAGCTCATAGCGAACATCCACGGCTAAGGACAATCATGAAAAGAGTTTATTATGTGAAAAACAAAGGAGATATACGTACAAGTGTCTCAAACCCCTAACGCTCAATACACCCTTTCAAATATCTCTCTCTCTATTTGGATTTTTCACTGTTCAACTTAAAAAAAAATACAAAAATCACAGTATCATTATATATCAGGTTACAAAAGAAATAAGAAACCGAGTCGCAATACTAAAACGGGTCAAAAAAATCACTATGATATCTACACACAAAAACATATAATATGGTCAGTGAATGGGCATGAACAATTAAAACAATTTAGGAGGAATTGATTCCCTAGTTTAATTATGAGGAAATTTAATTTACTGAAAACTGGGACTTAAAAAAAAAAAAAAAAATTGTTACCTTTGAGATGAGCTAAAGCCTTCTTCACTTTCCTCTCACATCCATAGGAATATAAAGGCACCTTCATTTCGACATACTGTGCCTCCACATTCTTGCTCGCCGGAACAATTTGGAGATTATTCTCCATTATATAATCTCAAAATACACCAACCATCAATCTTGTTCTTGACAGTTATATATATATGTGTTTGTATTGTTATTGCTTCTTAGACTTGAAATAAATTGATGGATATATATAGGACTAGAAGTCACTAAAGAGGGGTCAATTAGCTAGATATACATTATCCTCACAAAAGCAAAGTACACAAAATATGGATTCCCGGGAAAAAGAAAGGTCACCATACGTACCCTTTATCTTTCTCTTTGCTTTCTGCACATTCCCTTTTGTTGCTGTTTATCCTTAATTTACTGTTTATGGTGGCTAGCTTAAGTTATTGTCAAGGCATTTCAATTCCAAAGATTCTTTGAATTGAGAAGTTGTTGTTTGTGCTTTGTAGATAGATCGTCAATGGTGACTCAGACAATGAATACAATGTGTCATCAACTTTTATTTGGTCAATAAAAAGTGGCTTGTATTGCATCACCTTTTAATGGCGGGTTTTGGCTTCCATGTGGGCTGTGTTTGCTTAGCAAACAAGTTGTGGAAAGCACCCGAGAAAATGAAATGAGTGATCAATTTATATATATATATAATTCTTCATCGTACATATATATATATATATATATATATATATATATATATATATATTATAACTAGTTATTGATTTGCTGAAGCACTCAATGCATCATTCTTCATAGAATATATCTGTTCTGCCATGCATGCATGTGATATTTGTACTTTTTCTTTTTCTTCATCAATCAGACAAATATTACTCTTGCCCGCGTTTATAACACAATGCTAATTATAACATGGACACACACTGCTATACACACACACATATATATATATTGATTCTTTAATATTGTTTCTTGATGAGTTTGAGCTCCAGTTGAGATTTATTGCCACCGTGCATGCACCAGCTTAGTAAACATAGACATAAATATTAACTTAATTACTTTGGTTGGTTAGTTTTAGTTTTCGTTCTTCTTCAGTTGCTTAAAGTGGTTAAAGTTCAAGTAATGTGTGAGAATGTGAGTTTGAGTTTGAGAATTTCCAATTAGTTTGTATAAAATAGTTAAAGGCTTTGTTTAAATTCAGTCACTCCCTTTAACGGAGCCCTCGATTAATTGGGAATTTGGGACAATACTAGCTTGGTAAAGATATAGTTTGTACAATTTTGTATTTTTTGTTTCTTTGTGTGCAATAGAAATACTTTGCTAGCCCACGACGGAATATCGAACAAAGATGAATGATTTATCATCTAAATATGAGATTCATGTTGTAGCACTCCACTCACAAATGTACCATTTGGAGGCATTCAAATTCGAACTCCAAATTCGAATCATATATCATAATTCTCAAACAAAAAAGAGGTTGCAGGGCACGCCACAACAATCATCGGCGCCACCGACGTCCATCACCACCTTTTACTACCACTACCTTCACTGCTTTCCATCACCATCACTGTCACCATTACCGCCATCATTGTCACCTTCCACTACGACCACCATTCACCTCCACCACACCATTGCTATCATCACCTATACCACCACTTTTACTTTTAAGAAAAAAATTAGGGGTTCGAGTCTTAATAAAACATATATGTGTGAATATTGATTAAAAAAATAATAAAATAAAAATAAAAAATGATGAAGGTTTTGAGATTGCAGCAAAGTACTGCAGTAGGACAAGGGCCATCCGATCACCATCCACTAAAAGTAAAATAGGACACAGATCTAGGTTTTTAATTAATCAACAACCAATGGTAGTGTCCAGTTCCGAAGTTTGGCACGTGCGTGACACCGCCAGATTGGGCCACGTCAATGAGTGGGCCCAAACATAAGATGTGGTGTTTGTTTGTGTTCGCGCTTATTGAGAGACGATGAGTCAGATCTCATCATATTAGAGAGTGGTCCCACCATGTGAAACCCAGGCCTCTGATTTCTCAGGGAATCTCTAAAGGACCCCATTCCTTTTTATCCACTTTTGTCTCTCCCCTTAATTCTGTGACATCCACAAATTCCTAAATAGAAACTAAAAAATTCAAACAACATAAAATATAAGATGTATTATAAAGTTTAAGGAGAAAGAATGAAGAAAAATAATTTAAGTTCCCGATTTTATTGATAGAGACAAGGATGAATACGCAGGCTATGACGAATATCAATCCAAAATTAGAGTTTAAGTTGCTCCTCGTTGCATACTCTCAGATGAAATCCAACGTTTTCGGGTCTTTCATAATAACTTTCTTATTATATATCCAACTACCTTGACAAGTATGTAATACCATTTCATCCACAAAATTTGGACGAGCTTTAATTGTATTTTTTGACATGATTGGAGAAAATTATAGGAATATCTCTTATAGTTTTCACAATTACACTGGCCTCCTTTAATAACAAAACGTTATTACACATACCTTTCCTTACAGGTATACTGTTGAAATGTCCTCAAGTTAATTTAGTAAATGATTGAACTACTCATTTTTATTGGTTGAACTTGAGATGTACATTCTATCTTTCTAACACCATCTTTATCCCACAATTGGGTTTTCAATTTTCTTTGGTGGATTGGTGTTTGTTGGTCACCAATTTGGGTTGGGGTTTCAATCTCCATTCAAAGCAACAATGGAGATATCGAAAGATACACTGGTCACACCCAATTTCTCCACCATGATTCACATACTTTATATCCCTTTTTGCCCGTTTGAAACTGAAGATCTGGCATCAAAAGATTTACAATCATGATTCGCACATCAAAAGATTTACAATCATGATTTGCACTATCGATTACGGTTACGGTATAACGGACTTGGATAAAGTCAGTATAAACTGGCCGATACGAGTCGCATATCGAACTTGAAAAAGGGTTGCTTATCGAACGATACAACAAACCATGTGTACAATAAATCAAATCACACACACACACACACACACACATATATCTAGTCCATATGGAAAAATTTGGGTAGAACAAGACATAAACAGGAAACTCACGGACTTTTGTATATACATACCCCAAAATCATGATCTATATGTATCGGTGGAACTATTCACATGGCCAAGAACTATTATACGTTTTATTTGTAATGTTAAGGTATACATACACACAAACATGCCATAGTCCCCTATTCTTACTCTATTTATCTCCAAATTTATGGTGTTTATACTTGAGGGTGTAGTATGTATATATATAGGTCAGTGGGAAAAGGGTTTGTATTTTGAGTGTTCTGTATGTAGAGACTAGAGGATTGAAAGCCATGGGAAGTATATAATGTGAGTCATAGGCAGCGGAATGTATACAGGAAAGTTTTTATTTGTTTTATAAAACAGATCTATGTCGTTACCAACTTTACTTATTTTAGCAATTTAAACAGTTAATCACATGCAAATAAAATAAAGCAAAGTATAAAGGTAGAGATGACACCAGGATTTTAGTGAGGAAACCCAAGTTGATAAAATACGTCAACTGTTATGGGAAAAACCTCGTGGACTTGTGCAGTCCAAAGTAAACCAATTCACTATGCTTGAAACAAAGTATACCGAACTTTGACTCTGGCTCACACCCTATCGTTCTACACCACACCAACTGCTGACAATCCTCTGGCTTTGCGACTCCCCGTACAACATCAACTTGATCTCAGGCTTACACTTGATATTTATAGAAGAGTAGTAGGTAGATCAGACAACACTCCACGAATGCTCCAACCCTCTCAAAGTGTGACTGCGTTTACTTTTGTTCTTCAATCGTCTGAATGATGTAGAAGAAGATCTGCTTCGTCTGATCGATGTAAATACGACTGTATGATCACGATCAGGATTCGAACACCACAACTCTAAACTAAGTGTTTATGTGTATATGTTCTAGAAAGATATCAGAAAAAATCAACTCTGATTTTCTACAAAAATAATCTTCCTAAGGCTTTAAATAAAATTTGAATAATAATGTAAAAGCCTTTTTTCAACCAATGTATATGACATGGTTTATATAGAGTTTAGAATGACCTAATCCTTCTGAAAATGATAAAATTCGTGCATAGGATTTGGTACAATTCTAAACCAACTAGGAGAGAAATCTTAAACAGGAAACTAAACTTTCCATAGGCTATCAGGACTCTTGAACCTGTTCAAAGAATTGGGAACCGGTTCAAAAATGGCAGAATGTATTTCGATGCCAATGTTGAAAACTTGAACCTGTTCAAAGAATTGGGAACAGGTTCAAGAATGGCAGAATGATTTCTAGATGAAATTCTAATGGCTTGAACCTGTTCCAAGAATCATGAACAGGTTCAAATCTACCAGACTTGAAATTACCAAATATGGAATGTGTCTTAACCTTTTTGGATTTCTTCCTAACATGGTGTTCTTTCTTTTCTGTGATGATCACAATTATAGCATCTTTGAACAACCTTCCAAATTCATAGTCTCCGTCGATCTTGATAACTTGCATTACAAGTAACTTAAATTACAACTCGACATGGACTTGTTATGTCTACGACAATTGCCAAAAATAATTAATATCTCACATATAAAGCGATTTAGACAGAAGCAGTTATGGAAAGAGAGATGTAGTCTCTCTCCACCCTAAAAATCACTCTTTGCAACCAAAATACCAACACAATTGATTAATTTTATTTTTCATGTTAGTTCCAAAATTGATTCGATCTGTCCTCTGCCTCAAGATTCGAGATCGTGGTACTTTGACTAAAGATAAGGTCATATAGTCTCTATTTTTTATTTAACTAATAATTCCATATATAAGTATGTTTATATAAGTTGAGAGGTAATATGAGAATTTTAATTTATTAATGACATCAGCAAATTCCGTTCTTGACAGTTAAAAAGGAGGTCTGTGAAATAACGTTTCATTATGAAGGGAGGATAATGTAATTTTAAAGATTATAAAAAAGATCCTTGTAATTATGACAAACTATAAAGGAAGTTAGTATAATTTACCCCATTTTAAAATATTACTGGTGTCGTAAAAATTATTATTGATAGTTGTTACTCTTCCTAGAAGAGGAAAATTTGCTACAAAAAAAATATATGAGACAATGAAAGCAAATCTCATAGGAGGAAGCTCTAACTTAACCT